GATAGGCCCAGTTGTCTTTCTTCATCATTTAACTTTTAAGCTGATATATCAAACTTGTCATTTCCTAAGGGTTAAAGAAGAACTATTTATTTATTCCTTTGTTCCCTGTTCAGACCCTTCCAACACCTTTCCACATATTGCATTTTCTTTGTGGAAAGGGAAATAAAAATAAAATATAGATTAAAAAAAAATGTATTATGATTTATCTGCCTAATTTATTTTCCATTGGACAGAAAGTCAATTCTTTACATTGTTTACTTCACCTGAAGCAACTACAATCCAAGTGACAAGCATGATGGAGAATGTTAAAATTGTTCATGGTTATATTATTTATTAAATTGTTTGGATTTGATTTGGACAATTTTTATTAAGGAAATGATGCTTTTGAATTATATGCACCTTATGGAAGAGGGAGGGAAGAAGGTACAGAGAGGGAGAAAGAAAAATACAGAGAGAGAGTTAATAAAATATATGGAGTGCTTAAAGAGAGAAAAATAAAGAAAGGAGAGGGAAAAATACAAAGAGAGAGAGTGTGAGAAAAAGAAAAGTATGGAGAGAGAGAGAGAGAATAAAGAAGTACAGAAAATGCACAAGAAGATGACAAGAAAATTACTGAGAGAGAGCAAAGTACATCGAGGGAGAGAAGTAGAGAGTGAAAAATAAGAGTACAAAGGGAGCAAGAGAAAGAAACTTAAAAACTGAGGGAGTAAAAGAATAGTACGAAGTGAGGAAGTGAAAGTAAAGTAGGAAGGCAGAAAGAACAAAAAGTACAAAGAGAGTTCAAGTGAGAGAAAGAAAGTATGGAGAGAGAGAGAGAGAAAGTACAGAAAATACACAAGAAGAGGGTTAAAAAATTGAGAGAGATCAAAGTACATAGAAGGAAAGAGAGTAAAGCACAGAGTGAAAGAGGTACAGAGAGAGATAGAAAGAAGTACAGGGAGAAAGAGAGAGAGAGAAGTAAAGAGAGAAAGAGAAAGAGAGAAGTAAAGAAAGAAAGAGAGAGAGAGGTAAAGAGAGAGAAGTAGAGAGAGAGAGAGAAGTAAAGAGAGAGAGAAGTACAGAGAGAAAGAGAGAGAGAAGTACAGAGAGAGAGAAGTACAGAGTAATAGATAGAGAGAAGTAGAGAGAGAGAGAGAGAGAGAAGTAGAGAGAGAGAGAGAGAGAGAAGTAGAGAGAGAGAAGTACAGAGATAGATAGATAGAGAGAAGTACAGAGAGAGAGGCAGAAAGAAATACAGAAAAAATGATAGAGCAGTCTTGTGACATTCTCCTTAATTTTAGTCTTGTGGCTTCAAGAGTCATTTTTACCTTTGGAAAATGTCCACAGTCACAAGAATAGTAGGTGCTGATAGAAAGGGGTAATGTAATTTCTTACCAAAAAAACTCTGCATTACGCATAAAGAATCAACTGACTTAGTCATTACAAATGCAGCAACCGCACAGTACACAAGCTTGCACAGTGGCATGTCATTAAATCTACAGGAGAATGTCAGGGAAGTCAGAGGGCAGAAAATGTAACACCAATCTGAAGGTGCACTGGAATAAGATTCATAACAAAAATTAAGCAAAGTATTAAGAAACAAGAAAATGTCAATAGAAACCAAAAAAAAAAGAATACTGAAATGCTTTGTAATATCAATCCTGTAAAATTGCAGTGGATGCTGGACAATTTCCTCACAGATGAAGAGAAGAATTGAGGCAACAGAGATGTATTTCTACAGAAGGATACTCAGAATACCTTGGACAGAACTGTGAGAAATTAGAAAGATTTAAGGAAAATATAAAAAGAAAAGGACATTTGTGCATAGTGATAGTTATTTCTGGGATGCATAATGAGGAAAGGGTGCTTGGAGAATTTTTCCCTCAGAGGAAGGGCAGAGGGAAACAAAGAGAAACCTACCTAACAAGTTTGTGTAAATGGATGGCAGAACAGGGACTCAGAGGGATAGTAAGAGGGCGACTAATGCTTAGAGCTCAGAAGGTCAAGAAATTGTGAAGAGCCATGATCGCCTGTTTCTCAAGAGACATTAGACATAAAGTGAGTAAACAAAAAACTGGAATAAATGCTAAAAATTAAGGAAAAAATAATTATATTTAATTATAGCCCCTACCTTTAGAATGTTTAAAATTGGCTTTTATATTATTTTTAAAATTAAATGTAAAGTAAGTACAGAAGGTTTAATCTCTGTGAAGTGTTTTAAGAAATAATAGGAAATATGACACCAAAATCCGAAGACATATTGAAATAGCAAAAAGTGCCTATCAAAAACTAAGCCAAGTAAGAAGAAATAGGAAAATCTGAACAGAAACAAAGAAAAGAGTACTGAAATGCTATTTAATATCAATCCTGTGAATGCTGGACAATTTTCTCACAGACGAAAACAAAACTGGACGTACAAAAAATGTGGCTCTGCAGTAGAATGCTGAGAATATCAGAGACATGCATGTAAACAACAAAAAAGTTTAACAAAAAAGTTTAAGGAAAATGCAAATAAAAAAGATGTTGCAATTAAAATCAGAAAGAGATAACTGAAATTTATTGGACATATAATCAGGAAGGAGGCTTGGAAAATGTGACACTTACAGGACATATTGAAGGAAAAAATGGAGGTAGTGATCCGTTCATCTGATTAGCTTATGTGACTGGATAGTAGCAGAACAGGGATGGTAAAAAGACAAACATTACTAAAAACTACAAAGGATAGGACGTTGTGATAATTGCCCAAGGCCTGAAAGGACATGGCACAAAGAAAAAAAGACTCAGATCCTTACTGATTGGTTGGCAGTTTATATCCAAGTTGTGTAACCAGTTCTTAAAATATTCAAAATAGACTTCATATCTTCCACATAGACTGTGTATACAGCTGATATCATTTTTTGTCTTTCAGAGAGAAGCTCTTCTGAAGGCTTTTATACATAATATTATATGAGTCAAGGCACAGTGGCATAATGGACTGAAGGATTGGAGAGCTGAGTTCAAATTCCAGTCAAGTTCATTACATGCTAATATCCTTGGGAAAGGTATGAATCCATCTCTTCTCCCCCTGGTTATGGATAAATAGCAGGACAGACTGTATCCTATAGCCTTGGCTGGCCGCCTGTCTAAGAGAACAACAACTTTCAATTCAAAAACTGAGGAAAGTCATTACCTCCCTTCACCTCCAGATATGGGTAAATAGCAGGATTGGGTTCAATAGCCATGGTTGGTAACCAGTATAGGAGAATGAAAAACTAATTAAAATCAGCCTGGAGAGGGTTGGGCTCCTTCAGGCTGTTTTGCCCAGGAAACAACATTGCTGTTATGGTATCCCTATGACCCACTTTGATATCTTGTATCCACCTATCTCTAAGTCCACATCATTCGGATTATTGTCCTCATCTTTGTCGCCATATTTATCACAACGTTTCGGCTGTTGTACGCTCTGGCCTTCTTCAGGTGGTTGGAATGTTGAACTGAAACCTTTATTTCACTCACTGGGGTAGACTGTTCTAGTTCCTCATTCCATGTCTAATGGATGTCAGTTATCAGTTATCTCCTGTTAGTTCCCCTCTCCAAGTTCTCCACTGCCTTAACCAGGTATTGAACTCACACTCTTTGGGTCCTGTCACTGGATCTAACTAATACCTTTATCCACAGTGCCATGTGTCCTTGTGCATGAATTTCTAGGTATTATAAACCTAATGTCTTCAGTAACCATTTTTACCAGTGCTCATATAGCAATTTTTGCTGTTATCATTCATGTTTTTACCAGAGCTCATGTTGCAATTTTTGTTGTTGTTATCGCTTTTCTCTGGCACTCCTTATTACTGGTTCCTATATTGTATTAATTTCTATGCTTGGTCGGCTCAGGAAATTTTTGTGGCCTAGCATATGTGCTGATTTCTTAAGTTTACAAATTTTCCAATGATGTTCTTTGTCTATGATCTCAACCTGATCCCACAGAGTCATTTTGATTTTGTGTTCAAGTGTTTTATTAGTGTACTCCTTTTTTGTTTAATTAATAGAAAGATTTTATAAATTTCAACCAATAGTAACACTAACTGTTCATTCAGTGAATGCCAAATGTTTCCTGTATGGAAACAGCTAATTTCACCATTACCACACACATATATAAGATTTGCTAAACATGTGACTTTTTTCTTTATTAATACCATATCCTTTCAGGATATAGGTGATCATGGCTCTCCAAAAAACCTTTCCTTTATCTATGAACTGCCATGACTTCTTGGCAAAGATAGTAGAGTGGTTTTCTGTTGTCTTCTTCAAGGTTTTGAATTCAGATTACTTCTTTAAAACAAGGCCCAAAGTGAGAGAGCTCACTACCTATGATTTAACCCATAGCTGGAGGAGGGGAGAATAGAGATGGATGTAATGAATGCTGAAGGTCTTCATTATGAAAATGGCTAATCTTACCATTAGCATTGTTATTTAAGCTGATAATGACATTAGTAAGTATTGGTGTAAATCAATATTTATATTTAATAATTAATGAAATTAATCAGCTTGTAAGAAAATTGCTCGAGTCTTAAGTCCTGAAAAATATCAGTGACTTGAGAAAGATAAAATTTCAAAATGGTTTTTCAATTTTCAGCTTAAAATTACAGCTGAGGCTGTTTCTAATCATTTTATACAAACACCCTTGGAAAAGAAATGACTTGATCTCTCCCTGTGTTTTGTCTCATTGCAAGATATCATGGTCAAGCTCTCAACACTGGCAAGACATAATTATCCCTGCTACCAGCATCATACTGCTGAACACTATCTGTCACTCGATACTTGGAGAAGAGACAAAGTTACTCTTCTTTCCATCTGAAATTCCAGGTATCATTTACTGTTTTAGAATTTATTCTAATTTTTATGAAGTAGGAGCCTCCTTAAGATCAAATAGTTGAAGAACTGGTTCATATAAAATCTTCATTTGTGAGCCATACTGTGTAAAGTTTGTATCCTTTCACAACATATGTCTTCAAGATGAGGACAGCCAATGTTGAGGTTTACAACCATATTTCATTGAAACACCGGTTCCTGTATGATCAACAAAATTAAGCAATGTCAAGTCTGATCAGTACTTAGATGGGTGACTGTTTGGGAATACCAGGTGCTGTAAGCTTGGATGTGCAGGTGGTGTAATGGATAATGGCTCAAAATTGGAAAACAGAGAGCTGCGTTTCAATTCCAGTCGGTTTGTTATATTCACTTATGCAGAAATACTCATAGGAATGGTATGAGTCCACCTATTCTCCCCGCAAGAAAATAATAATTCATTTTTTCAAGATATTTTCTATAGAATATTTTTAATTTGTAAATATTTAACATTCAGCCAATTTAAACCAATTCTATCTGAATTTCTGAGATGATGAGTTACAGTTATTATACAATCTATTTTAGTTTCTATCACCATCTCCAAATCTTCTCCAAATATCTGTTAGATTTGGTAACATTCTGCAAATTTCAAAATGAACCTTTTATTAAATGCAAAGGTGAGTTTGTTCTCATTCTGCAATTGATTTTAGAGGATATCTTGTATCAGTCATGTTGAAGATGGGTAGTATCAACAGGCCAAATTTGCCATTAGCCATAAAAGTGAATTTCTTTGTGGTGATAGACAAATCTAAAAAGATACATTAATCAATTTGGAATAGTATCTTTATTTTGCTTGCATAGTCACAATGTCGCAGCCTTTGTAATCACCAGACTTCTTTCGATTCCCGTTAGATTTTGTAATATTCTGAAAATTTCCAATCATATCTTTTTATTCAATGTAGATGTGATTTGGCTCACATTCTGCAATCCATTTTAGAGGATATCTTGTATTAGTCATGTTGAAGATGGTCAGTATCAACAGGCCAAATTTGCCATAAGAGTGAATTTCTTTGTGACAATAGATAAATACAAAAAAAAAAAAAAAACATTAATCTTGCTTACGATGGTCACAATGTCCCAGCCATTGTAATCATTGAACTTCTTTAGATTCCCATTTGATTTTGTAATATTCTGGGAATTTCATATCACATCATTTTGTTCAATGCAGACATGAGTTGGTTCTCACTCTGTAATTAATCTTAGAGGTTATCTCATATCAATCAGTTTTTCCAAGTTAATCTGTCTTTATGACACTTTGGCTTCTTCCATTGAACCACAAAATATAAATGACTTCACAGCCTAATTTAAGCATTGAACTCATGACCACTAAAAGAAAAAAAAAGGTAATTGCTTATAGCAGAAATTTAAACAGCAATTAACACTGTGGCCGTTTTTCCTCTTCTTATCAATTACACAATATATTTTTTTTTTCCAATCATAGCAGTTCCTTTTTTTAACATTTACTTTAATACTTTGCTCAAAAATTGGAGGGACAAAGGTCATAAAAGGACTGTAAACCCCAGGAAAAAGAAAGACAAGTCTGAATTTTCCTATTTTCCTGCCATGGTGGGGTTTGGAACATCAATCTGATGAGAAATAGATATATGCTTATCAAGTTAAATTTACAGCTAGGTTAGAGAACAAACATAAAAATAAATATTTTTGTTTTCTTTTCCTCTATTTCAGTCCACCTGTCTTTTAAGGTCGGTACTTTGCAAAACTGATTTTTGTTTTCTTTCGCTCTCTTTCAGTCCACCTGTCTTTTAAGGTAGGTACTTTGCAAAACTGATTCTTTAACAGATTTCTCAGTCACCAAAATTACCAGTATGATTGCAAATAAAATGAATGCAGCGATATGTGGGAGAATATCATAATATACTGTATATACATGTGGATAGGTCACACCAGTACTTTATGGCTTAAGTTAATAATTGATGATTTACTGTTGACTCATAGATACATCGCACTATAATCTGGGGAGTTACACAGCTCCTTTTAAACATAACAATTATCGGATATCTACTTTTATTTTTACCTTTATTTCAAAACTTACAATTATTAATAATACATTTTTGCAGTTAAAATACATTTTGTCAGTCATCATGTAAACAAAAGAAAATTTGAAGTAACTGTTGTACTGCTATTTTTATATTTACCGCATATTATTATACATACTGCCTTTCTGCTGATCAATTTCCATGTTCTTCTGTATAATTTAGTACTTTTAATTTAAAACCTGCTTCATAACTCTTTCTTTTACTCATGATTAGTGTTTGCAACAATTATAAATTTGGCTACCAACTATATCGCTGCACAATGCAAAATAGTACAAACGTTTTTGGTACTAGATTCATGCTCTTTGTTATTTGTAAATAGCACTTAAAAATGCCTTTTAATGTTATATGAAACAACCATTAAAGAAAATTATCTCATAAAGAATATATTTCATTTCTTTAAGTCATATTTTCGATATATGTATATATGTATTTTTGACAAAATATATATATTTCGCAGAATGAATTGTGGGACTATTTTTTCTTTACACGTGGTTCTTTAACTTATGTATGTATGTTCAGGGTTTTTATATCAGTCTAGTGCGAGGACCCAAATAAACGGTGACTGATGGATCAATAAATATTTTATAATTTTATTTATTTAATGGATATGTGACTCTAGCAGCATGAGGTAAGTTTAAAGCAGTAAGTCAGTATATATATGATAGATAAATTGTTTCTATAAGGAGAAAAACCACAGGTTTAGTGTTTATGGGTATCATTTTCGATTTCTCAGAAATCATGATGACAAGGTAGTGTTGTTTTACATTTATGTCAAGTAGATAGGTCACCCCCCGCAATATTTTGTGAATTTTTTTGTAAAAGAAGTGCGACCTATCTGTGAGTATATATAGTATTATACAGTACACTAGATAATAATATTCAATTATAGACAAAACAAGCAAAAAGATTTAATTCCATATAAAACTGTACAGGGGAAATTTAGTCAATGCTTAAATTTTATAATATTGTAATAACATTGATATTCATACTCAGAGAAAAATATGCAAAACAAATTTAAGGCAATATGTTAATGACTTTTATTTTCAAGTAGGATTTTTATGTTAAATACTTCAGCTTAACATAAAAACTTTTGGCCTTTCATATTTCTTGATTTTCAATGTTTCTTTTTTTTTTAAATTAGAACTCTGTTTTTTTAATAACTCACTTCTCTAAAATAAATGATGGAATACTGTTAGATATTTAAATCTTAACTTTTTTTTGTATTTGAAAAGTGTCAAAATCCAAAAAGGATTTTAAATAATCCAAAAAGTAATTTAATATAAAAATAACCTTATCATCAGTAGAGATTCTTTCTCTTATCTTTGTTAAAGGTTTTTGAGAAATCTTTGAGAAATATGTCTAAGTTTAAGCTAATAACAATAACTAAAGTAACAATGTTAAATTAATTTAAGTTTTTGAAAAATGGTTTAAATTAATTTAAGTTTTTGAAAAAAAGGTGTAAATTAATTTAAGTTTTTGAAAAAGGTATAAATTAATTTATTTTTTTGAAAAAAGTTGTAAATTAATTTAAGTTTTTGAAAAAAAGGTATAAATTAATTTAAGTTTTTGAAAAAAGGTATAAATTAATTTAAATTTTTGAAAAAAGGTATAAATTAAGTTAATTTTTTGAAAAAAAGGTTACAGCAAGACTACACAATTTTTATGAGAAATAAGCTGTTGCATAAAGATTAATGCTGAAAAAAAAAAAAAAATTATGAGAGACAATTTAAAAGGGTTTTAGTTGGTGGTCAAGAACTAAAAATAGGGAACCAATTCTAATATCTTGGCTTGATTATCAGCAAAGAGAGCTCCAGAATAAGAATAATTTCAAGAGCTGAAATAATGCCAGCTGGCACAAATCTAAGAACCATCTGAAAAGAGAACATTATCTGCCTGAAATCAAAGATCAGACTGTTCAATGCATTGGCCTTCTCAGTCTTTCTTCACACTTGCCTATCTTGAACATTAACAGCAGAATTACAGCAAAGAATTCAAGCATTAGAAATTAAATGCTACAGAACCATCTGTGGTATCAATGTAAATCACATGAGAAATGACAGTGCAAGACATCATCAGACAAAAAACAGACCCGTTCAAAGACCTCATATCCACCATCAATAAGAGAAAGTTCAAACCGTATGGCCACATCATCAGAGCCAATATTCTTTTCATTGCCATCCTACTTTGGAAAAAGGAAGAGACAAACAGACAAAAAATGGACTGATATCATCACCAAGTGGACTGGACTATCATTCACAGAGACTCAAACATTGGCATACAAACCAGACATATGTAAGGAGATGGTCAGCTGAACAGTAAAACTGCAACAATACTTTCATATCACTGTAACATAGCTTCCTTGTGTGTGTTCTAAAAAAAATCTAATATGGAGTTTATAAGTCGCAGAAATTCATCCACAGATGTCCTCAAGGCATAGCCCAGTGAATAAAGACATTGGTTAGATCCAGTGACTAGACCCAAAGAGTTGAGTGTTCAGTACCAGGCCACAGCAGTGGTGAACCAAAACTTGGAGAGTTGAGTTAAAGGGAATTAACTGAGACATGCAGAAGGGGCATGGCATGTGGAACTAGAAACATCTACCCCAGTGGATGAAATAAAGTGTTCAGTTCCAATCACCTGAAGAAGGCCAGAAAGAAGGCTGAAACATTGTGAATATGGCAGTAAAGATGAGGACAACAGTCCAAACAATGTAAATAGTGTAAAGGATTGCTCCATATACCTTACCGAGCCTTTTAATTGTGTTCTAATATATTATTCTAATAGCTGCACAAAAATATACTACTCATTCTATCTCACTCCTGAAAAACAAATTCATTTTGAATATTTGTTTGTCCCATGCATTCCTGGTTGATTATATATGGCTTCTCGTGCCCAGTGAAAGTAGTCTTGTTCTTACATCGCTTATGACACAAAGTGGAAATCAATTTCTCCTATTGACAGCAATATCTATATAACAGTCCGAATAATGTAAATAATACAAGTAATCTTCATGGTAATTATTCTCAGGAGGTTTCCTCTTTTGGTATGTAGACTTCACAAATTTAAGTACAATACTAGATTGGCAGTTAGGTCTCATCATTTCACTGTTGAAATAGCTAGTTGTAACTGCAAGCTCTATGCTCATAATTTCTCCTGCACTTCTTGCTTGTTGAACTCTTCTGGCTTCT